ACCCTCATCGCCGTCCGATGTCACCGATGCTAAGAACAATTATTGCAGCCATGGGGAGGAGGAGGGTCGCGCTCTATGGTTTTAAAAATGTGTTCGGCGATGCGAAGTGTCATTATTTGGACAACCAGCGCTCGGGGCCGAACCATTCGCCGAATCAGCCGGTAGAGACGGTCTTAGTTAGATGCGACGACCGGTATCGATCAATCACTAATTGAACAACGACCACTCGCAGCATCATCATCATCATTATTGTCGTCCATACCATGAGCGTATCATTACGAATCAGCGTTGCTAGCGGGGATATTCATCGTCGGTTGCCAACATACCATACGCTCGATCCGGAGGTGCCTCTCACGGCACGGACCCGTTTGAGAGCTCGCTCACTCGCTGGGAAACACAGAATCCGTGTCGGCCGGTCACGTGATATTCCCTCCCGGCGTTCCCATCGCTCCCACTCGACTTTATTGCGACTTTGTTAGTTAGGAAGCATTCGCGTGAGTGATACGAGTGTACGAATAGATGGCCGATGACTCAGTCAGAGGGAACAGCCACTGGTCAGCCCGCTCGGAGGTGGTGCCGGACCGGTCAACCGTAGAGGACCCACCGGGAGTGAACGGAAGAGGGACTTCGGCTCACTCAGTCAGGAAAAGGCTCGTCTATATAGTTTATATATCGCACAGGGGACTCGTCAAAGCTCAGATGAAAGGGATCACGACGGCTCTGGCGTGCTGGCGTGCCATTTAAACGGCGACGGCGACGCCGACAACAAACTCTTGGCGACGAGAATCGAACTTCGTTACTTTCGTTCTGAGAGAGAAACTCGAAACGAGAGAGAGGAGATCAAATACGTCCGATTCGATCGAGCGTGTGTCGCAATCTCCATATAGGTAGCCGCTTCCTGTTCTGGTTTCGAAAATCAGAATATTTGTCGATACCATTGTTGAACAAGCGTGTCGCCGCGGCCAGCTGTCAGAGCAGTCAATAATAAATTCTCGAATCGGTGACGAAGTCGTTTATCATCTGTTCTGATGCTGAGATTAGGTCCGCGGTCGATTTCCGAGAGAGACCCTGCTGGCTGGCTGGCCTCCCAGCTCGAGGGACCTTCACATTCAGGCCGAATCGCCAGACACTGCGGTCACTATCGATATCGACTTGATCGAAGCAGCTGATCGGGCGAAGCGTGGAGTGTTTCACCGGCTTTCGGGCGTTTCATATCAAAGGCAATATCAGCTCGAAGGTACTTGAGCCATATTAAAATCGAGCTCGCTGGCGGCTGCATAACCCACTACTCTGGAAAGTCCGGGGAAGCTTTCAGAGAGAGCCTCGGACGAGTTCTTCGCGGGAGAGCCGTAGGACACACCTCGTGGGACCCAGCTGCTGCCGCCGCCGCACCCGCCACCGCCGCCGCCACCGCCGCCACTATTCCTTCCGTAGCTGCTTTTTCCAGAGGAGCGTCAGGGGCAGCGGCGGCCCTCACTTAGCTCGCTGAGAACGAGGCAAGACGAGCGAAGGGTAGGGGAGAGCTCCGAGACAGGACAAGCAACGTTCGCCTTATTCTCCGTAGTCGTAACATTCGGTCGTGCGTCTGTTCACAGAGCTTACGTGCAGTGCATGTAAGGGAGAGAACACAGCCCAGCGGACTCATCCACTCGCACGTTGCACGCGTTCCGCAGACCGGAGAAGCTTTCGCCGCTAGAAACATCAACGGCAAAAATATGTTGAGTATGTTTCACGCGGGAGTCGACGCTGACGGCAGCTGCAGCCGCCGCGGCGGCTTATCGAGTATGCGAGCTTTGCTAGTCCCAGCCGGAGGAACGGAAGGACGAGTGGACGGACGGACGGAGTGGATGGCTTGCACACGGAATGTGGTTGCATTCAGCGATGCTTGCCTCCCAACTCCACGGGCTAGAGAGCAAAGCTATTAAAGCGGGCTTAGTGGTTGGTTGGACCCTTCGTCCGTAAGTCCGTCTGTCGGTCTTTCCCTCCCATCGTCCGTCCGTGTAGCCGGTCCCGGCCGTTCATCGGTCCGTCCGTTGGTTCGTTGCTTGCTCGCTCCTCGTTCTTTGTGCGAATTGGGGATTACTCTGTCATCGTAATCCTTGACCGTCAAGGGGCTTCTTTCGTGAGTCTGCCGCCAACCGGTGGCCCTTTCTCCCTGCCGCCCCCAGCAGGGCTCCTCTTCCTCGACCCCTTCCGCCTCGCATTGCGCTTGTCCTCTGTGTCTCCCCCACCCCGCAAGGCTCCCTTGAAATTTCTCCCTGTCTCTCTCATCTTCCGCACGTCACCTTTCATATATATCCCGTTATTTTCCGTGAGCCTCTGGTCCTGTCAGAGCTCGAGAAGCAGACGGTGCGGCCGTCATCCGATCGGACCCGCTCTCGAATAATGGACTAATCGTTTATCACGTAGCAAATTAATTCGCCGATCCGAAATGACCTCTGACAGCAAAAGGCTGAAGCCGAGCTAACACACAATTGCACTCTCACTCGATTCGGCTCTACGTGGGAGCGACGGCAGGGATGAGACTCCTCTACCCCATCTATTTCACTTAACCCCGGCAGCAGACCTCGTTCGGCGTTTCCTGACATGGACCAGACGCGCTCACTCCCTGCTTGGCGCTCGACTGCTAGCAAGTCTACCAGGACAGCTCCCCCTAGCCTTCTGCTCGTTGTTTCCCACACATTGCCAGTATGGGCGGCGAGATCGTAGTGTATCGCAGACTGCACTGGAAACTCCCGCGGCGAGGATCAGCTTCACTCCAGGAGTTAGCTGAATTTGTCTCGATCGTCATCGGCGGCAGCCTTCTCAAAAGTTGCAGCACCATGGACGAGTTTCCTGTGCGCTCGTTCGTTTCCTCCTCCTCCTCCTCCCCCTGTCTCGCGCTCTCCGGCTGTCTGACGTTATCCCATCACCCGCTGAACATCCATGCGACTCGAAAACACGGGCCTCGCTTGATGTGTTGGACGCAGTTTGAACTTTTTCTGATGACTCCGCACAACCCGCTGTGACTCCCTCAGCTTCGAAATTCTCTTCCAAGCTCGCTTTATATTTGCTTTCTCTCATCCTCCGAAGCTTAAGTTTCTATCCTCATTCCGTCTGGGGCGTCATCGCAATTTCCGCGGTCAGACAGTCTCCGACTCTTCCAACTCAGGCAGACGATCTCAGCGAGGGAAAACCTGCGAGCGGAAACTCCACGATAGGATTGGCGGGCTTCCGCTTCGTCATCTCAACTCGTCATCGTCCTTTGTCCGGACTCAGATCGATTCGATGGACTGGAGTCAGAATGATGTTTCGATGCCCGAATTCGACTGCCCGAATTCGCACTGACGTCCTCCATAGATCGTTTTCCCGTAGAGCGAAAGACTGGCAGTTTCGTTCACGGCCGGAGGATGAGAGAAACACGGAAGGTCCTGGACCGAGGTTGTGCACCGGGTTCAGGAGCCTCAGGCTTGAATCTCGCTGTCGAGCGCAAAGGAAGTCATATCTGCTCCGGCGGTTGGCCACTCTCATTTATTTGCCACGAGTATTCCCTCCTCGATCTCTATGCGGGTATCACTCGGAGCCGTCTCCTTTTCCACTCCTATCGCCGCCGCCGTCGTCTCAACTCCCGGTCCCTTCGTCGGTCTGTACGCCTACCAGACGTAATCAGAATATTACCCCATCGATCTACCTCAACAGGCGAGCGGACGGGCGGACAGACATTCGGTTGAGGGGGCAGACCGACAGAGCCTGGACTGATTGTTCCATCGCTCCCTTAGTCAGTCCCGGTGCCCAGCCCTGGAGAGGGTCATCGCTTCTCGGGTTTCTTCGATCGACAACGGGCAACCATAGATGAGACGGGTCGAACTCGATGATAAAAATGGATACCTGGCTTCTTGGAGCGCGGACGGTTGCAAGGAGACAACCTCTCCGCCGCGGGGAAGTTGTCTGTCGAAATACGGAAGCCCCGAGGAATCCAATGAAGTCCCGACACGACAGAGCTTGCTGGAGACGTCCATCGAAATCTCTACGCTCCGATGTCAAGATGGACCGGCTTCAGCGTCATAATTTGACTTCACGTTACAGCGAGATTCACGGCTTCTGGCTCCGGCATTCGTCGAATCTCCACGACACAAACTTTCTGCTCGGGTGATCGGGTCGTTGCCGTATCTCTTCAGCGAATAGAACAACGTCGGACCGAGAACACTTCAGAATCCGATACTTTGCTCGAATATATCGGGGAGAAAACAAAGTTTTGTGCCGGCTTCTCGATTCGGGACTGTCGGATTGCGATCCCTCCGGAAGGTTAGCCGGGGAATCGGCAAAATCGCTCGGTTGCTTACTGATAACTCTCGACTCGATAGGGCTTGTCGATTGTTGAACAAGTGGAAAGCTCCGATCCGATTAAATTCCTGATCGGGAGATCTCTACGCGGAGTCTGATAAACTCCTGCTGAAGCCAAAACATCGAAAATCGGAGTGTGCGCGGAGCGAGAAGCGAGGAGGAGTGGATAAGTTGAAAAAAAACTCCCCGCCTTGAGCACAGGGGAACTAAAAATCAATAAATAGTCCGAGTCTCCCTCCCCTGACATCCCGCGGCGGGGTCCCTAGTTGGCGAGCGACGCGCTCGCTCGCTCCTCGTCGATGGGAGTCGGCTCGTTGAACATCTGTTGTCGCTTTACTGAACTCTCTCACTTTTGCTCTCTTGGTTGAATTTGTCGTTCTCCCACGAGCTCTGTGGAGTCTCTGTCGCTTCACTCGTCTCCTCAAAAAAGTCCTGAAGAGGTAGTGCTCAAGCACTACCGTTGGTGGGGCGTGAAAACGTCCCGGTTACGCAACAAACCCTTGGAAATCTGCGGAATAATTGTGTTGCTTATGAAGAAATAAACTCGCGGTGATCTAATGTGATTTATGCGGATTCTGTGATTTTTGAAGCCTTTCTGCTTCGGCATCGCCTGCCGCTTCACGGATGATTGTGTTTGTGGTTGTTGACAGTTGTCTTGTGCCGTTGTAATCTCGCACTTGGAGGTTCTGTAGAATGACTGCATCACCTTCTTTTCCATCTAATTTGCCGACAAACTCCGACCAGAGGCCAAGATTCACCATTTTCATACTGTCGTCGAGTACAGTAACCGTTTGTTTTTCGCGGTTGATACCATCTCGACTGTTGGAAGTTTGTGGTAGCCTCACGTCGAATACCACTACGAGGATATCGACCGTCGTGTTCACGGGCTTTGATAGCAGTTCAATAAGAACTGTGGTTTGCGCCTGAGTCTTCGGGAGATCGTTTCCCGCGATCGGAACGAGTTTACTCAGCTTGAGATAGAGATTTCGATTAAATGTGTCGGAAGTGTTGTGTCGCGCGCCCCCATACCTGCTCATACCTGGAGCATCGCACTATCTCCGGCTCCATTTCATGTGAAGCGCCGTGGCTTATGTCCTCAACAGATCCGAGACTCCCATTCTCCCCATTGCGAGCATGGTTCGTAGCTTGAGAATGTAGCAATGAAGCCTCCCGAACTCCCGATGTCGCTTCCGATACAGAGCAGATCGCTCAGCTGCGCTCTTTGACTTCTTGGCTGGCCCACAAGCCAAACTTTGGGCTTTTCGCTTGAGACGCCTCCTACTAGCATTTTTCGGCCTCATCTGGACGGTCGCTTAATCAAAGTAGATCAGTATGCGAACGCAGACACCGCGATGATCAAATCAAAAGGGATATCGCTGGATAACGAAGCCCGCATAAGATCTGATGAGTTCTGATGATCGCCTGAATTCTCCTGAAAATCTCTTTCGCGACGGCTCCTCAAAATGATATAAGTAGCGTCGGTGACGGCACACATCGTCGCCTTTGCCGGGCAAGCAATTCCGATCAATCCAGCGTCTGAGCACTGAGAAAAGCGATTATTATGCAAGAATCGAGGTATCTCAGAGGGTTGCACGAATCACGCTGAACGGGCGCTCTGAGGACTCCAATCGGCTCCAAAATCGCGTGGAAGCTCGTGCCGTAAATTTTCGATACTATGGCACACACCGCGAAGATCTAGGTGTTCGGGGAACAAAGTTATGAAGCGTCAAAAGCGGATCACTTTCGTGACGCTGAGGACGAAGTACCCTTGGTCTGTATGCGCGATGAACTTAAAGACGTTTTCACGTCAATATCTATGACCCCCGATACTTTGAACACTCATGGGTCCACAGACATCGCTGTGAAGTAACTCCAACTTCGCGGCGCTCGCCGATCGTGACGTTGGAAATTTCCCCCGCTGTTGTTTCCCCTCAGCGCAAGCACCGCAGACAGATCTGCGCTCCGGGATTCTCATGTTCACACCTGCCACCATGCCCTTTGACAACTTTCCCATGCCTTCCGCACTTAGGTGACCCAGTCTCTTATGCCAGAGCTCGAAATCCACTCGAACCGAGTCCTTCCGGGCCAAGTGAGCCCCCGGTGTCTCGAAAACCAGAGCCGAGTCCTTCCGGGCCAAGTGAGCCCCCGGTGTCTCGAAAACCAGAGCCGAGTCCTTCCGAGTATGTTCGTCCCCCGGTCGCTCTTCAACCGCACCAAGTGCTGAATCGTCCCGGGCTACTTGAGCCCCCGACTTTCCATCTACCTCCGAGCGTTTCTGCTCGCAATTCACCCCCGGTCGCTCTACGACCGCCGAACCGCCGTCCCGTGCTGACTTAGCCGTCGGTCCCTCCCCGACACCCGAGCGTTTTCGGACTGAATTAGTCCCCGGTCGCTCGTGGACCTCGGAAGCTGCGAGCGCATTGATGAAACACTCTTCCAGGCGATACAATCCGCTGCCTGAACAAACTGCAACAGCACACAGCTCATTGTACTCGTTTTTCACCTCGCACCTCCGCCCGAATTCAACTTTAAAACCTTTCCTTGTCAGCTGCTGCACCGATATGAGACTGACCGTGAGCTTCGGCACGAATAGTACGTCTTCCAGCCTGGTGGTTCGCGAAGTTCCGTTCACCGAGCAAGTAAAGTTTACTTCTCCGGAACCTTCCGACCTCAGAATCTCGTTGTTCGCAGTGGCGACCGGTCGATTTCTTCCATTCCTGGTCAATGACACGAAGGAGGCTCTCCGACCTGTCATATGACGAGTTGCTCCGGAGTCAATGAACCACTCTTCATTTCGTTGGGAACATACCAGCACGCGCTCTAGCTGCTCCTCGTTTCCCCGCGTTTCCACCTCTGTTGCGAATTTTCCATGTTCCCCCCTACTGTTCCCCCGTATCGCGTTCTCCCGACAGAACCTTCTGATGTGTCCAGGTTTTCCGCATCTGTAACAGTCGCCTTGGAACACTCTTCTTTCAGGGAGACCCCAAGTTCCCGGTGCCCCTCCACGGCGGTAAGCTCCGCTCACGGAAGATGATGGTGCGCTCCCACGGGGAACGTTCCTATCATTCGTCCCGATGCCTGCCAACGCTGTCTCCTTTTTCTGGGATGCCTGTCGAGCTGCTTCACTCAGCAACCTCTCTTTTACGAATTCTGTAGTGACGTTCTCTGCCGTCGAAATGCTTTGTGTCAGAGGCGTGAATTCTTCGGGGAGCTTCATTAGTATCAGCCCAGCCAGGAGTTCATCGTCGACTTTGCTGTGAATCGCGCGGAGACTTTGCGCCGCTTTGACCTTCCTGTTTATGTACGTCTTCATGTCGGGGCAATCCGCGTAACGGATCGACGTGAGTTCTTCGAGTAACGCGACCTGACGATACAGGCCCCTCGGCTGATACAGTGTCTCCAGTCGGTCCCACATCGCTTTACCTGACGTGAATTCGCGAATATCCGAAAACAATTCTGAGCTTATCCCTGAAACGATAGCTCCGCGCGCCCTTTTCCCCTGACGTTCGTCTTCCTTCGAGCCTTCCAC